TGTCGCACTTATTCCACGTGGCCACATGTGGCCCTTGTCCCACGCGTTCCACTTGCTTCACTTGTCGTACTTGTCCCACCTGTCCTACTTTTCCCACTTGTCTCAATGGGACAAGGGACGAGTGTCATTTTTGAGACACCCCAATTTCTTTAGTGATTTCTTACGCACATAATCAAAGAAATTTTAAAATAAATACATTGACTTATGAACATTGTACATATATTGGACGGCTCTAATGCAAAATGGTTTTACGGCTAGACTGACGCTTGATTATTACCTGATAAGGAACAAATAGAAACAAGCATTGAACATTGTTGTTCAATTATCAAGAGTGACTCCGGATTGTTGAGCTATTTGATATCGAGGAAAAAGTTCAATCCGATCGAATATTTTAAACAAGTCGTAGGATTTCAGGAGGCCAGTTTGAATCTAAATCTATTTTTTTCACCGCCCTTCAAAAACGCTTCTTTTGCTCAACTTAAAGGTCCAACTCAACTCTATAACGCAAGCGAATTCTAATGTTCAATATTGTTATAGATTAATTTTTCGTTTGTTGACTATCATTTTGCTCAAACTTATTTCATTTCATCATACCGTGTTCAACTTTAAGATAAGCAATTATGAACATATTGCCTCCAACAGTATACTATTGCACTGTTTGCTAATAAATTACGCCAGTGAACCTAACTATCGATATCCTCCGACTCAGACTATAGAAGACTATCATTGAAAATGTTTGATCTGGATAAATCTCAAATCGGTCGTTAACAGAATTCCCCGATTACATTGATAGGAAATAATGTCTCAAAAATGACACTTGTCCATTGAGACAAGTGGGAAAAGTAGGACAGGTGGGACAAGTACGACACGTGAGGCAAGTGGACTTGAGATACGTGGGACAAGTGCAACACGGGGGACAATTGCGACAAGGACAATTTCGACATGAGGGAGAAGTTGTAAACGAGGGACAAGTGGAAACGTGGTATTATTGGGACTCTTTATACAAATGGGAAACGTGGGACAAGTGAAACATGTGGTGCTATTGGGACACGTGATAAATGTGCGACACGTGGGATACATGGGAAGAGTGGTATGAGTGGACAAGTGGGAAACGTTGGACACATGATACAAATGCGGTGCATGGGATACGTGGGACAAGTGCGAGACGTGTGACAAGTGGGATACATTTGACAAGAGCAACACATGGGAAAAGTGAGACTTGTGCGGCACATGGGATACGTAGAAAACGTGCGACATGTGTGACAAGTGGGATACATTGGAAAAGAGCAACACATGGGAAAAGTGAGGCATGTGCAGCACATGGGATACGTGAGACAAGTGCGATACGTGACAAGTGGGATACGTCGAACAACTGCGGACCTTGGGAAAAGGGCGACACGTGAAATACGTGGGAAAAATGCGACACATGCGACAAGTTGGACAAGTAGGATACGAGGGACAAGTGTGACACGTGGGATACGTCGGACGACCTCGGACCTTGGGAAAAGTGCGACACCTGGGACAAGTGCGACACGTGAGACAAGTGCGACCTATGAGACAAATGCGATACGTGGGACAAATGTTGCACGTGGGATACGTGGAAAAAATGCGACACATGGGACAAGTGCCACCCGTGGGATAAGTAAAATATGAAGGACAAGTGTGACACGTGGGGCAATTGCAACATGTGATAAACGTATGAAAAGTTTGACACATGGGACAAGTGCAACACGTGGACAAGTCTGTAAACGTGGGGGATGTGCGACAAGTGGGAAACATGCGACACAGGCCACACGTGGATACGTGGGACAAGTGGTACGAATGTAAAAGTGAGGCACGTGGGATACGTCGGACAAGTGCGTCACGTGAGACAAGTGGAATATGTGGTACAAATGGACACTTGAGACAAGTGAAACACGTGGGACAAGGGCGACATATGGCACAAGTGTGACAAGTGGGAAACGTGAGACAAGTGCAACACGAAAGAAAATTACGTCATATGGGCAAAGTGGGAAACGATGAACAAATGGAACACGTGGTACTATTTGGACACGTGATACAAATGGGAAACGTGGGACAAGTGGAACATGTTTTACTATTGTGACACATGGCAGAAGTGTGACATATGATACAAGTGCAAAACGTGGGATACATGGGTCACGTGAGACAAGTGGGACAAGTGAGACAGATGGGACAAGTGAGACACGTGGGACAAGTGTAACACGTGGGCAAGTGTAACACGTGGGACAAGTGTAACACGTGGGTCAAGTGCGACATGTGGTATGAGTGGGAAAGTGTGACAACTGGGATAATTGCGAAACGTGTGACACGTGCGAAACGTGGAACACGCTCGGCATATGTTAAAAGTGAGAAGAGTGCAATACGTGGTGGTATTGGTACATTTGGGACCAGAGGTGAAAAGTCTACGCTAGGTGACAGTACCGAACAACAAAATTCACCAATAAGGGTGATTGACATCTGATTATCAGGACATTTCATATAATTTCAACTCGACTCCGACTTTTCTTTCAGTTCATCAAATAATATTATACTAACTCAACACAACTACAACCTTTTTAATAGTACCGGTACATCAAATAATATTATGCAACTATCAACCCGCTAATTTTGTATTTTGTAGAACTTAACAGTAGCCACTATGTGGCAACAATGAGCAATATTCTTTCTGGTATCCATGGCGACTAAATTGTAATTTCCGGCTTAGATTTGCAGACAAACGTTTAGATTCTTAGCCTTAGAGATAGATATAGCTTGAATTTACTAATATTTGAGGCTCTTGGTATACAACAACTTGATTTCATTGTAAAAAGAAAGTTATTATTAGGATATGATAGAAGAGATTTTATATGTCGGGTGGTGAGGGAAGCAAATAACACAGCTTAATCATATGGCCAACCGCAGTCTATAGTCCAGTTATCAGTTCATGTCGGCTGTGGGATTAGTTAGCCAGTTATTCGATTTGGGTGCATGGACTAGATGGTGGAGGTAGCCCCAATTGACCAGCAATTACTTGAACCAACCTATGGTGGGAGTGAATCCAACAATACTCTCGCACATAATTATCCATCACAAAATTCAAACCTGCAAACCTACGCAAGGTAATCAGCCAGTCTGGATTTCATGGCCTTTTTGAACGAGAAATCGGGCGTGCAATCAGAAATTCCCGCGTGCAAATAAGAATTCCTGGCGTGCAATTATAGCTCACGACGTGCAAAACAACTGCACTCGCGTGCAACTGACTTTGACATCAGATACCTCTCAATACATCCGCGTAAAATTACCGGTATCGGATAAAAAATACGTTGAATCAGAGAAAAAATGGACGTTTGACCTTTGACCCCAAACATTATTTCTACAGTTTGTCGCTAATTTTGAGAGTGTTTGTGCGACTTTGGATACCGGTACTGTTCAGTACATCCGCGTAAAATTATTGGATAAAAAATACGTTGAACCAGAGCAAAATGGACATACTTTGTCATTAATTTTGGTAGTGTTTTTACGTAGAATTAATGGATAAAAAATACGTCAAATTAGAGCAAAATGGACGTTTGACCTTTGACCCCAAACATTATTTTCATACTTTGTCACTAATTTTGGGAGTGTTTGAGCCACTTTAGATACCGGTACTGTTCAGTACATTCGTGTAAAATTATTGTATGAAAAATACGCTGAATCAGAGCCGTACTTGGCCATTGGTGCGGAGGCGATCTTTTCGTCCATGACTATTCTCACGGGATTCCTATTTCCTATCATTCAACACGATATGGACCTTTCCCCGAGCATCGACTTCCTTGTTTACTTCGTGACATTGGCCAATCAGCAAGATGCAAAAAAGGACGTAACAATGAGAGGAATTTTTCGCGGGTCAAAGGTTGGGGAAAGGTCCATGGTCTTTTTGCTTCGCAATATTTCGATCAGACCAAATCTTGCAAGCTGGTATTTGTCGACAATTGTGGAGTTATAATATTTTGGCATCTTTATATTACTGGATTATTGATTTTAAAACCATTTAAACCGATTTACATTGGTGAGCTATTGCAAATTTTCGGCGTGCAAAATTGATTTCGCTCGCGTGCATTTTTGCGGAGCGCTAGCGCCCTCGGGCGTGCACCTGCCATGGAATCCAGTCTGGGTAATCAGTGGTGCAGTTTCGTGCATATTTCTAATGCTTAGCATGATGTGTCATACCGCCGAGCCGATTAACCAATTACGGTTTGTGATTAATTTCCTTACATGTTTTTTTCTTGTTTTTCTCAAGTTAGATTCTGTGATTGTCCCACCTTTCTCTGTTTGTCTTATTATCTCATTCCAACCCAATAAAAACAGAATCGAAGAAAATAAATAAAATAATGGTGGGGCAATATCAAAGTAATGGATAATGATTTTGAAATTAACCCAGAGTTTGACCCAAATGTTTGTGTTGAAACACTTGAGATCATCATTATTTATAATTTATTTAAGAGGAAATATTTATGTGTAAATATTCATTTCCACTTATCAGTGATTGCAAAAAGCCTTGTTTAGAGTGTAGCTGTAAACCCAAAACACCACTTAAATGTTCAAGTGCAAAATTGGTTTACATTCATTCTAAATCATTGTAATTGCAACAAATTCATTATGTACACAAAATTTGGAAGTTTATATTTGATATCCTTATAGTTCCAGATTAAAAATAGTTTCCCAGGCAACAGTGAAAATTTTGATAAATATTTGACTTTGTATAAAACTCTTTTTGAGCCAAGTGGTTATGCTTCAACTATGTTGGCATTGCAGGTTAAAAATGTTGGGTTTAAATCATTCACACTTTTAAATCGGGAAAATTTTAAACTTTGTTATTGTAAATATTGTAGCTACTTATATATCAGTAAAAGATTGTACAGATTCTAGTTCTGTGTGAAAGGTTAAAATTACTCAAACAATTTCTTTGATTATGTGCGTAAGAAATCACTAAAGAAATTGGGGTGTCTCAAAAATGACACTCGTCCCTTGTCCCATTGAGACAAGTGGGAAAAGTAGGACAGGTGGGACAAGTACGACAAGTGAAGCAAGTGGAATGCGTGGGACAAGGGCGACATGTGGCCACGTGGAATAAGTGCGACATGTGAGATAAGTGGATACTTGGGATACGTGGGCAACGTGCGACAAGTGCCACACGTGGATACGTGGGACAAGTGGTACGAATGTACAAGTGCGGCACGTGGGAAACGTCGGGCATTTACGTTTCGCACAGTCGCAACCTGGGTATCGGGGTCGTATTTCGTATTTGCAGTGACACGTTCTGTAAGGACGTTTAATATTGGATCCCTTAATAACTGGGATGCTGAGTTGGCATATCAAGCAAACCACTTTTGAAATGCGCAAGAAAGAAAAATGTTTTCCGTCCAAGCACTTCGGAATACTCGACCCGCAACGCAAACTTCTCTCCGTTCCCGGACATTTATCTATTTCAAAAATTAAAATAAACCATTTTAAAAATACAACCAACATCAAGTAAACGACATACAGTTGACGCTACAAATCCGCGCCATACAGTCGCATTTGTGGAGACTACAATAAATTTATAATCAATTTTTGTATTACGCATTCAAATTCGGGACGATCGAGGGCCGCAAAAATTAGTTCGCGGGCCTCATTTGGCCAACGGGCCGCAGTTTGCCGACCCCTGCTCTAAAGCGACCATGGCACTGAAAATGTTGTGAACCGCAGCTATTGGCTATCTTTGAACCTTTTAAATTTACCCGTGTTGTATTAAAGAGTTGATTTCTATTTTATCTCCAGATAAATGCAAATCTTTATATTTTATTTCATCGTCTAGTACTTTCATTCTTGTTTTTTGTTTTAATACCTCATACAATTGCAAATTCAGCTTCAAATAAAGTAAACTTGCAGAGCTGTTGATAAAAGTAAATATTTTCAAACTGTCATTGTGTTTTCAGAAGTGACGTCCTGCTGACCGAAGAAGAAACACAACAATCAGATAAAAAAGTGACTGAAGAAGTTGTAAGGCCAACTCAGCATTGTAAGTCTGCCATCTCAATAGAATCAGGCATTATTAGTGTTGGGCTAGGCTAAATGCTTGTAATTAAGAGTAAACATTTTGTAAGAAAAAAGAGATAATCTCTCGATTAGAATGCAAACTTCCGCAATGTTTTTACACACACAGCTCGTTGACGTAATTTTCTCCGAACAAAGCACTATACAAGTAGCCACTGATATTCATCGATATGTACAAGGTGATATTTATTCTCTCCTGTCACTCAGAACCAGGCACTATACAAGCAACTACCAATATCTATCGATATGTAAGGAGCTTCTACTATTTGGAAGAAGTGGAATCTTCTCAGTTCTGCCTTGCCTACTCATTTTAGTACACTTTGGGAGAGTTGCTTCCATGAAATTTCATTCAATTCACCCATGTCGAATACAAATCATTGCAGCAAAAAATTGAATTTATTACCATATACTCTGCTAGAAACAGTAATTTTCTAACAATAACATTGAAAAGGATTTATTTTAGGTGATAATGTTTTTGAAGTATTTTCAAAGACATGAGTTACATAAACTCAGTTTTATGATTTTAGAATAATGCTGTTATTACATTTATTACCTTCCAATTGTAGCTAATTAGCTCAAACTAACTCACTACTTTATTTTTAGCTTTGCCACAAATTGAAAATGTTTCATCTCAAAGAAGTGGATCCGACATTCTTTTGACTTGGAATGAAGTATCTGACAGCAACGTTCTGTACAACATAGAAATCTTCTGCGATGATATGAAACTCGGAGAGACTCACACTACAGAGGTTCACAAGTATAGAATGAAGTCACCTTCACTTGGTAAAACATATCGCTTCCAAGTCTGGGCCAATGATGAATGGGGAAACTCTGGCTTCAAGACTCAATCAAAGAATAGTATAAAAGGTAACCTTTTAGGATTATGTAGTTTCTCCCTTTTTATGTCATAGACATCTATGAATACCACACATATACGTAAAATGAGCCATAAAGGGCCATACACTATACTCATTGTAATAATTCATTCCAGTTTTGCCATCAATTATTTATTTATCAACTATAACATGATATTGAAATATCAGCAAAGTCAGTAATTACTATATGCACTGAATTTCTTACTTTTCGTGCTTGGGATTTCTAACAATTGATCTATAGAAAGAAACACTTCCCACATTCTGGCTAATTATTCCCAGGTGTGAAGAAAAGCATGTTTTATGACATTATTCGAACAAGGTTCTGTACAAACAGCAATGCAAAAATCTGCAAACTAGTCTTGGGACATCTTAATCATTCTGGTTCAACAAAGTTTCTGGCACCCGGGGTTAGGATTTGTATTTTTTCAACTCCCTTTTTTTCACTAAGGGCTATCTGGTGTAATCTGTGATGCGAACATTATTAGATTCAACACTTAAACCACTATTATTACAGCACAATAATCATTGACAAAATCAAGGCTCAATCCTGACAACAATGTAGTTAGAACCATATGAGTATTCAAAATTCAAAAGATAGAATATAGTTCCAAAATTATATTTCTTGTTTGTTTATAAAAAAAGCAACATGACCTTGATGACTGAGTACTATACAGTCAAGTTGTGTGTATTTTCAATTTCAAAATACATAGTTTGACAAGATCTCTTATTTGCCTATTTGTTACCAGTAAAAATATTTTTACATTTTCAGTCAAAAACATTGGAGTTGAAGGGGATACAATGAATCTTAGCGAATGCAAAGTTATTTTTCCGGATGGAACATTCAATAAACAAACAAACGTTTGGATGTCAGTTGGATTGGACAATTCAATATGCCCATCACAATACGTGGCAACCACACCAACACTTAACATCAGTGCAGAATCAACATTACGCAAAAATGCAATTGTACAAATGAAGTCATGACGTCTCGAGCTGAAGAAAGAGGACATCGACATAATTCACTTCATCAACGCCACTGACTGGGACATTATCGAACCTGATCTAGTCATGCATGACAGAACTATAGAATTCCGTTGTCAAGAGTTCAGTCCAGTAATTGCCGCTATAAAACAATGGTTCTACGGCTCTCCCCCACCCCCAGTTCTCAAAGAAAATTTTCTTTACATCATGGATCAAAATCGATTCTGCATCACATTTTTTAATCCAATTGAACCTGTTGAAAGAAGCATAATTACATATTACGAGAGCCGAGATGCACAACCGATACCAACAAGATTCAACCAAGTAATTTGAAGGCATGGTGACAAAATTCATGTCAAACTACGAATCGACAGAGGGCCCGAAAACTTGCGATTTAATGAACCCAATGGTCACAATTTTTCTGTAGATGATGACTTCCTAAGAGCACACAGACATGACTTTGAATTTGAACTTCTTCCTGAATCACAGCAATATCCAAAAATTCTCATCAAATGTGAAATGGAAAAGAATGAAGATGAAATTAATAGAAAAGTGATTAAATTTACTTTTCCACTGAAACCTCCAAGTGAGTGGGAATGTAACTGTTGTTTTTCTCTGTATGATGCCTTGAGCAAGTTACCTTCATTCCATGTCAACTATGAAAGGGTCTCTTTGTCACAATTTAGATTACACATTACATAATTGACTGGTCTTAAAATCCCATCATTTTAAATGAGAAGTTCGTGCCCTGACTTTTTGTTTAATATTCTTTAATATAGTTGTGAGAAATGTTTTACATTGGATGCACATTATCTTGAAAAAGATAATATATTGACCTGTGAGTAGCGTTTGATAAATCACACCTTGATTGATATCTACTTTTTATAAGACCATATATCTTTTTTTGATTATACTGAATTGAAAACAATCATTGGAATAAAATGTTTTTCTAATTACATATCTTTTCATTCTTCAATCATAGAACCCAAAGGACCTCCACCCATCAACTTTGCCGGAGCAAATATTGAGAATGTGAATTTACCGGAGAGAGAAAATCAGAATAATCAGCAAGTGGTGAGATTTGATTATATTTTCTTCTCATTTGAATACTTTTGAAATTTGAATTTGTCAAGTCCATGCTCTCAAAAACTAATAACTGGCTAACTAATCTCATACCCAACATAGACTGGTAACCGGCGGAGAGGATGTTATTTGCCATATGATTAAGCTGTCTTATCAACTTTCCTCTCTCCAGGGATAAATATGTAAATCCTATCCTATCCTAATATTTGTAAAATTTCAGCATCTTCTGGCATCTCCTTTTATCAAGCCTTGTTAAGAGGAAATGAACGTGAAATGACTTATCATATTGATAGCAGAAATCAAACTTGTCTAATTTATAATTAGTGAGCTTTGGAAATGTTTAACATGGAGTTGATTGACATAAAGTTCTATTTAATAGTTACATTTTATGCTGATAGCAATCCCCATAGTATCCTCCTTGTAACTGTGGGATATTGGAAAACTTTTCCATATGAAATATTCTATCTCCATATTAATCTGCACTTTAAAACACTGTCAATAGAGATACTGGTCTATGTTGGATAGTAAATATGAAATATTCATTTTAAGGGGCAAAATGAACAAAGAGAACCTGGTGCAGTAGGTGGAAACCAAGCAAGAGAACCACAACTGAATGAACCACTACATCATGAAAGTGATTACGGTACGTGAAATGTTATCACTAAATAATTTTTTTTAGCTTTACAAACTTTATATCAAATAGAGAATCTACTAAAAATTTTTGATATACTTGGAATAAGTCTTGGAGTCATTTTGGATGAAATTCTATTTTCGCTGTGTCTACTGCGCAATGAGCAGTGACCCCTGAAATGTTACTATTTTTGCTGAAAACTAACCAGGTTTTTCCACAAGTTCGTCTGTAACAAACGATATTCAAGATTTGTGATTGTTGCTAGTCTGATTTGTTTTCAATTTCATCTGAATGAGCAATTTTTTTTTAGATTCCGATGATCTTCGCTGAAAACTCCTTCAAAAGATTAGATGTTTCCTACACTGAACACATGAGCCACTGCTAAAATGCGAATGTAGAATGGGCATTTTGCATAATGCTTGAAGAGTCGTATTTAAAATTCCATTCCTCCAATAACCTGACTGAATGCCAAATTATTCTGCGATCTGAACCCCTTCTCCTGCAACACAACATGGACATCAGGACATGCACATAAACTAAAGCGATTGAATATTGAAAAAATTATCTCTCAAAGACTGTTCTCTAAATTGTCAAATTATTCAGTAATAGTAGAAGTTCAAGCAGAAATTCTATAAAAAAAATTGTAGAGGAAATATGGTTGATATTAAAATAATTTTGCTGGTGTATTTTATAACATTTGATTCCGAGTTCATTATTGTAGGTACATAGGCTTAGATTGTGGATACTTGGAAACTGACTCTAGGACATATGTACCGGTACCACTCTGTGACAGGATTTCAGCAGTTTCTCGCTTAAAATTTTTACTCACAGGATTTGACCCCATTAACTCACATTGAAAATATCTGTAAAATGAGTCTTTTGGGGTAGCCACTACAACTAGTTAAAAGAATGTCATATTTGGAAATTTACAGCAATTTGCAAAATACGTCACCAAATCTTGATTTGCATGTCTGTTCAGTTGTTTCATACAAGTCCTTGTTATCCGATAAATTTTTCCCTATTATTTTTGAAAATCAGAGGGAGTGCTGCATTGATGTTTTGGTTTTTTATGCACTATTTTTGGTGAACAACAACAAACTCACTTTGAGCTTTTACAGAACTTATTGTGTGTATTGTTTTCAGATTTCGATATTTTTTTTAATGCACCGGTATGTCAATCTTTTGTATTTACATCACATTTTGAGTATTTTTAGTTTCTCATGATTGCCAACTACTTTACTTAATCGTGCTGTATTTAAATCGTCATTTTCATTGTATATAGGTTTCCTTTGCAACTTCACATATTTTGTAATATTATAAAAAATGAAAAAAAAAACAAAAAATAAAAAATTGATAAAATATTTTTTAAGTTTTTGAGTTTTTTTAGTTTCTCATGACTGACAAATACTGCACTTAATCTTTCTTTATTTGAATCGCCCTTAATTCTTCTTACTGTATATAGGTTCACATTTTGCTCAAATTTTAAAAATATAAAATATCAAAAACAAACCTTTTTGCAATGCCTATTGTAAATTTGCAACTTTTGTCGAGTACAGCAGATTTCGAAATTTTTTTAATATTTCCTACTATATATAGGTTTTCTTTATAACTCTATGTATTACCCTAAAAATATGAAGAAAAAAAAATAAAATAGCAAAATATAAAAGAAAAAATTAAACTTTAGTAGTAATAAAAAATTTTTATGTACTCCCTAGATTTCGAATAATAAAAAAAAATTGAAAATAACAAAAAACGAAAAATATGATAAAAAAAAAAATTTCGAAGTCACTCAGAAATAAAGGAGACTAATCTATTAGCAATGCAATGAGTCAAAAGCTACTGAGCTTCTAAAGTATTATAGTGTAGAATTACATGTTGGTAATTACTGATCAGCGTGAGATTTGAAGTACCCAAGGGAGGATTTTATGGATTATTAGCTTTTATTTTGATTTAATCGCCTAGGAAAAGTAATTCTTGTTTTCTTATGAAATTGCATTGTTGTTAACCTATATTGAATGGTTTTCTAATACTGACTAAAGTAAAATTTTGCAAAAACAGTATAATCATTCACATTATAAAAGAGCTAAATTCCATATTCTGATATTTTTCGCTCTCAGTATATTATATATCTCTTAGATCAGGGGTGTACAATCTTTAACACAGGAGGGCCTGATAGAAATAACTGGGTGAAACCGCGGGCCGCATCTTCATTTAACATAGTCTATCTGGTAGTTGCATGCACAAACATTTTGGTTATTGATCTTGTGACATGCGTTGTTTACACGAGCTGCCTGTTAAGGCATTGTTAAGTCATAGATAATAAATTGGACTCTGGTATCGGCTTCACAACGCAAAGGGATACTCGCATGTACCAAATTGAATTAACTAAAGCCGGCTTAGGACTTTTCGACACACTTTCCCATAAGAATGGCTTGAACTGATTCCAACCTCGATCGACATTGCGACGACTTTGCGACTTAAAAACTGGTTTCGTGGGCTGCACGTCATTCAAAATTGGCACTTCTACCAGGGTCGCACAATTTTTCCTTGATGGCTGCATTTGGCGGGCCGTAGATTGCACACTTGTCTTGGATAGTAAAATTTGCTGTTCACATGCGAAGTCTTGAACCTGATTCATTTACAGTTTAATATTGATAGCAGCAATCTTTGGCTGAATAAAACAAATTAATAATCTGAATGCTTACAGACTAGTGGATATCATCTCTTATTTTCCCTCTTCGATTGGGACTTTTGAATATGACATTGCGGATAAGACACCCGTTAGAATTGTTATTTTCATGCAAAGCTGCTTTTCCAATCAGTCTCATTGTTTTCATATATAAAGCGAACAGTAACCCATGATGAAATTCATTATTGAAATTGTCATTGATTTCTATATTCAAATGCATTGATTTTTGCTTGATATGAAATTTTCATTAATGTGAAAGTGAAACATTCATTTCATTGAACAATTTATGCTTTTGGGATACAAACTAAAATTGGCAACATACAGCCTAACATAACAATTTGGCTTGCATACTCTGATAAGTCTCTCTAGTAAAAATATTTTATGATTTTGATTTTCTTCAATTGTGTGTGATATTTTGTGTCAATGCAGAAGCATCTGTATGATAAATAAGCAGTGTGGTATTCCCGGGCTCCATGCCAAAGACCTTGATTGTCTACAACAAATTTTTTGCGATCTCTATGTCAGTGATGGAATCTCATGAAGTATGATTCTGTGTGAAGGAATGGCTGAATTCTGGTAGAGTGGTTGGTGGTGTTAGAAATGCAGTTTTTGGCAGTTCGCCATGTTGAAAATTATCCATCGACTCTTGAGCAGTAATGAAAGACGGATTATTTTCTTGAAGCTCATAACAATGAGCAACAACAATCTGTGTACTATAGTCCTGTCTTCTAAAAGTTAGGACAAACCTCATTAAGCAAGGCCAACATAGTCCAGTAATCAATAATCATATTTTTCACTTGGATTTTGAATGTATAGTAGCCATGAAAATAAAGGTTTCAATCAGCTTATTTGCAACTAACTTTGTTAAGTAGTTCACATTATTTGCTAATGGACTGCAAAATAGATTATTCTGTGGGGAGGGGCAAAGTAGACATGATTTTTTGAACACTTGTGTCGATACGATGCTATGTATACACACTGTACATAAATTCAAATGCGGTTAAACATGCGATATAATAGTGGGGCCGTGTCACTTTGTGTCGTTGTGAGGTTTCGTTTTATAGGAAATGTGATAATGCATGAAGTATGTTACACATGCAAAGTAAAGGAAACGTAAAATATGAAAAAAAGTCAGGTCTAATCATATGTCATTAACCACCCAGAGATGCGGCTGTGATGGCGACTAGTCTATATATTTGGTCATCAATGCAACACGAGAACCAGTTAATGCAACTGTGAACTTCTGGCCTTACTAAGCAAAAGTACTCCAGATATACACTAGGTGGCATAGGGAACAATAAAATTTGCAAATGTGGCCTTTGAACTATTGACCTCTGACCGCAAGAACAATTTTCATGATTTTAATCTTTTCGATATGCTAGGAATTGTTAGTGGAGTGAATTAAAAATAGTGATCTTTACCATTAAATAGAATATGAACTATCAAACATGAGTTAATCAACACGACCCGCGCTAACTTAATATTTTGTAAAACTTCGACAGCCGCTTGGTGGCAACAAACAGCGTATCCATGACGACAAAATTACATTTTCGTGTCAATAGCAAGAAATTTTCAATTGTGCATTCCTGCTTGCTGTAGGGCGTTTCAAAGTCACGCCTACTGTGAATAGATTAAAAACTAATTGAGGAGAGCTTGAAGCAGATTTTCGATTTTGTTCAACTTCTCGAACATTACATATGCCAACCTAACGTGAAAGTAGGAGTGAAAAATTGGGTACCTGTACCCTACTTCCATAGTATGTGTACCTGTACCAGGTTAGGCCATGATTTTATTCCTATTTTCCTTATTTTTGTTCTATTACGAGTTCGTGGACTGTCTGTTTTAGCCAAGAGAATACACCCCCTACCCATAATAGGTTTCTGTCCCTTCACACAACTTGAGGTAAAATAGGCGAACAGAGTTAGTCACCTCCATGTTGGTACACATACTTCTGGAACGCCAAAAATTGCCGTTCAGTGTTAAATGTCCAGCTTTGAAAAGGCTAATGAGTCACATAAGCAGGCAATAGTTTTAAAACTATCTCAATACAATTGGTAAAAAGGAGAACACTATCTGATGTTTTTGATATGCTGTTTAGGTTAATTTATTCCCCAAATTTGCTTATGAGATTTTTATTGCCCCCACATTCATTTGTGATCTGTATTCATTTGTGATCTGTATTCTAAGTTTAGGTGTACTCGATGCACCATTTGCTAGTACTGAAGATCTTGCAGGTATTGATCATTCCGCTTATTTTTAGTTCAAATTCCATTATAACAGAATTATATGGAATGGAATTATAAACAATATTTAGGCCATATTTCAATAAGTGGCATGCTGCAGTAAACATTTGTTGAAAATTCAGAAAATAATTTACATTTTGAGCCATTTCTATAATATTTGTAATAAAATATTGCGCGTTTACACTGTCAAAAAGCGTGACAGTATTGATATTAGTTCCCCTATTCCAAGTAACTATAGCTATAAAGCATAAATATAGCAGTTTTTCGCGAGGGACTTGAGACTCGATTCTAGTCACCTTTTATCAGAGTGACTTCCCGTCATCTACGTAATGACTCGGATTCTTTTCGGCACTCCAGAAGTTTGTGTACCAATATGGAGGTAACAAATTTTGTTTACATATTTTACATCAAGTTGTCTAAAGAGACTGAAACCCATGGGCAAGGGGTATATTCACTTGGCTAACACAGACAGTCCCCGAACTCGTAATAGAACTAAAATAAGAAAAATCGGAATAAAATTATGGCCCAACCCTAACCTGATACGCACACTACGCGACTGCCCTTTCTTCAACTAGTCACCTGTGAAACTTTTGAATTTAATGACTGACTGGATGGCTCATAGGTTAGTGACTTCTACCCAGCACTTTTATGTAAAACCGGTAAAAGATTGTAAACACACGAGAATATTATTTAATATTATATTTCACCAATAAACAAGCACAAATACCATTAGAATCACGATATAGTCGAAATATACATATAATTAATAATAATGATAATAACAAGATAAATATAGAAAGTAAAAAGTGCTGGATAAATTATTATATACATTCAAAATGATATTTTTACACCACGATTTGATATTATTGTGTATATATGTTTCTATATATAACGAACCGTTGACACTGTGTATTTTACATGTCCATAAGCGCAATATAATAGTGCCGTCTCGCTTAATACGATTGAAAGAATGTACAAACTGAGATAAAATGAAGTCAAAATATGCTTTGCCATGAATGCACCACAGTTGGAACATCCGCTAGATGGAGCTCGTCACACATAATGCATGCAATTTTCAAAATCATATTTTGACTGAATGACAACTCTTATTAAAAACACAAACAATTTTGCAACATCGCTGTCGGTAATTGTATTGCGATCATCTTCAGAGACTTATTACCAAGCCGTGCTCTGCGGACTTATTACCAAGACCCAGAAAATAATAAATAAAGAACAGAAAAAATAAAATAAAAATAATAAAATGAAGAAGATACGTGCATATGATGAGAGGCAAGACTGTGAAATCAAAATAATAATCCGGATAAACATTGGAGTCCAATACCGAGGTGCCGGATAACCGGCAAACTTACCTTTGTCGGGTTAAAGCACCGTTTCATCAACCAAAATAACGCGAGCCGACAAATAGATTCTGTTTCTACATACACGACGTGTGTGGTTGACTGTGCAGGTTAAAGGATCTACTTGTTATAGCATTCCTTTCCGGTCGATAAGTAGCGATTTCAGATTTTGTTGCAAAGGGTCGCGTTTTTTAAGGGCATAATTTCGATAAAAGAGAACTTCGAGATTAAGTATTGAGTGAAAAGGTTACTATAACATGACTTAGCAAAAAATACTTAACTCTTTATGACCAAACTAGTTATTTCGATGAGGGATTAGGTTATTCGGAAGGAAACGGGTTAAAGTTAACATCGCTGGTTTGTGTGCTTTTGAAAAGTTAATCCTCTTTCTTACTTGGTTTTGTTGAAAGACGATTAATATCAACAGTTTAGTCTACTGTCAATATTGGATATCTGCGGGGGGCGTGATGAAAATCATTGTGACCTAATAATAAATATTCCAGGGTAATATTTGGTAATAAAGTTGACTAATATGTTATCCATCATCGAATAAATTGTACTATCTTTCATTTTGAATATGAAATTAACCCTTTATGATTTATGATGTTTGGATGATATTTAGCCTCTGTTGATTTACGTCATTGGCGTTGACAGGGTTAATTTCAGGTGAGGTATTTCCACGAAATGTTTTTCAAGCCGAAATGAAATAAAATTAACAAAAAATGAGAGATAAAATAAAAAGGAGAGAAATAATAACTTAAAAAAGAAACAAAAAATCATGCTCCGAGCACAGCACACCGCGCTATTGTTCCCGCGCCTTTTCAGTTTTCTATTATGACGTTAGCTATCACGCTCTCTCCGCGTGATCGGTACTGTCAGGTACGATTAGAGAATCATTATCGCTGAATTATCTTATTTCGGTCCATTTCCAGTCACGTTTTTTGAGGCATCGCCGCCTTAGGCGAATTTCTCGATCGTGTAATTTGACTAAAAAATTCCCAGTACCCTACGCTTTATTGGGTATGGCACAGAGATAATTTGTAGCCGAATAAAGAGAACTAATCGTATGATTATGCTTGAAAATTTAGATTTTAGCTGGAATAGAAAATTTTTGGTCCGCGAACTAAACTTGAGGTTATCCGTGTAATTTTTGACTGGTAAACAAGTCAACTTAAAAAAATAATAGGAAATTAAATAAATGAAAAACAAAATCCCGCACCAATACCGATCTGCTATACGCGCTCCACAAAGCTGTATTTTTCCATTCCAACATTATTATTTTTCTTACTAGCGCAGAAAATGTAATCTAGTTTACAGAAAACGCAAAACTCTTAGTATTTCACATTTTTCGAAAAAAAAAAATCGCGCCTTTCGCCGTATTTGCACTACAGTGGGTCATATTTTCGCCGCATTCGTTCAATGTTACCAAACAATGCTTTTCTCGCTTCGTATTATGTCAGAACAATGCCCGTGTCTTTGATGTTAAAAGTAAGCATGAGAACTGTATTTGTCGCTATGTCGCCGCTATTTGTCGCTATGTTCGGTTGATGTCGGTATTCTCCAGCTGTTAAAATTTACTTAATTTGGATAGTATCGCCTTTTGCCATATGCACGTAACTACATATCCATAGTCAAAAATTATCAGACACATATTGAAAAAAACACAAATATACATCTGTATATATTTGCGTGTTTTCAGCGTTTCGATAATTTTTGACACGGAAAAGCGCTGCCTGTATACATACTGTACCAGACAACGCGCCATTAAATGATTATGAACCCCCATGGGGTAATGAAGCAGATCCATACTAGACCCACTAAGTTACCCCACAGAGGTTACACTTAAAACTTGACAATCACCAAATAAAGATTAGTAGACATTTTTGTTAGTTAGTAAACATAGCGAAAAAAGCAAAAAACATACTTAAAAGTTCGACACGTTAATTTCCTATTATAGGAAAACTTAAGGCGTAACCCAAACATTTAGGTTACGATTCTGACAAATAGAGCGATGCCGCCGACCGACTCTCCACTTCTACAGTCTTCAATGACGTCACGATGACGTCATAACCGGAAGCTTTGATGAGGAAGGCGGGCGCCTCGGAGTTCACCCGTAGTATGACGAGTTACTTTCCGAATCAGAAAGAAGCATTTCCTGAAAAAATAAAAAAAATAATTCAATACTTGAAAATTAAAAAGCATTTTATAATTGTTCGCTTGAAAATATTTTTTTTTTAAATGTTTCTCATTTTATTATAATTACAATGATTTTTAAATGTTTCAACTTACCATAGGTGTCATATGGCTATATTTTTTCATCCAATCCACGCTGCGTTCACCGTTGGCGAATCGTCTTTGATTTCTGCCGCTGAAGACACTGCGGGGCGGATGAGGAGTGATTGAGTATTGTAGTTGATAGGGCTTGGATTCCAAAGTGCAAGATGTGTTGATCTCTTGTAGAGGAGATCTGGAATCAATTTGGAAGGATTTTCTCGAGTATTTCGACTGTGGAGGGGAACATATAGATTGGTGTTGGTAGAGCTGCGGCGACGCGTTGTTCGAGTAATGTTGAGGGGAAGTAAACTGAGTATCGTCGAGTTGATTCTCGTAAGATGTAATCAAATTTCTCAAGTCCGTATCGATTGGACCATTTGCTGAAGACGTCATACACTCGTTTGTTGAACTAGCGTAGCCAGAATGAGCTGGAGAAAAATTTCCATGAGATGATGCTGGTGACGTCAAAGCATACGTGTTTGCTGACGTCATCGGTGCACCGGAGCAATCGATTATGTTGTTCACGTCACAATAAAAACTGTCCTCTGGAGAATGATTCATGACGTCACACTTTTGAGGCGAGCTCATTGGTGAGGTGATGACTGGGAGGGGTGGGGAATGGGCGTGGTTCAACCGTGGTGGCTCATTGTTGATGTATACAGGAGAGTGGGATGGACTGCCTTGGGTTGGAAACCTTTCGTTCGTCCTGAGAGGAGGCGGGGATTGTTTGAATTCTTGAATATTAGGTTGGTACATAGCAACGTTATTGTTTTGGTTTGATTGACGAAGCATTGGGGATTCCAATGTGCGAGGAGAAGACGACGAATACGCTTCTGTGTGCATGGGCAGATCAATTGGTCTTTGAGCAATTGTGGTGTATTCCCCTCTGTAATGATGCTCGGGATGTATCAGCGCACTCGTGTCGTTCAACAACGGAGGAGGCGGCATGTACATTGGGTGATGGATGGTTTCATGGTATGCTGAAGGGTGGATTCCACCATGGTACATCCCCTGGCCTGCTGCCTGGTATAAGAGATCTCCAGCTGTGTGGCGCCTCATCATCATTTTATTTGGAGGGGGAAGATTGAAAATTTCCATTCCTGTTGCGTAAGAGCCTGGACTAAGCGCGGTTGGAGTTAGAGAACTATCCATGGAAACGCCAAGTTTTCTTTTCAATTGTCTTCGAAGTAAGGATTTCGTGTCCATGTTGTCAGCGAATTGGGATGCCATAAGCATATGAGACATACCAGCACCTGGGCTTTGTGGGTGGCGACCGGTAGGGGACCCCATTGAGCTTGGAGACGCCATGCCAACGTCACTATTGAGAGCTGTTGCTAGGAGACTTGAATTCGCTGCCAAGTAGTGCCGCTTGACGTCGCTGTAGTGATCCGGGAATGGGAGGAGATTGTGATGGAGGCGATAATATGGGACTTCGTCTTCCCTAGAAATGAAGAAATATGAAAAATTAATAATGCTGTATTTCAAAACGTATCCTATCTGAGAGAAAATGAGGGAATTTGCAGTCATTGAGCCCAATCATTCGAAATTAGAAAATTTAGAGTACAGTATATATTAGCACTGGCGGTTTTTCTAAGATGAGGGAACATGTTATTAGTGAATACGATACGTATGAAAGCCGTTCTACAAATTTTGAATCCCACAACTAAGTATTGCCAACTAAATGCAAAATATATTAGAATTAGTGAAGAATACTTACTCAATGACAATGTAATTGCAAACGAATGAATTCGAAATTGCTTCTTGAGATTTTTCAGCCGTGACATCTACCCACACGAGTTCGCCATTTTTGTGTATCATTCTGATGACGCAAGCAAAAGCTGAGCCGTCTTCTTTAACTGTGGAAAATGGAATTAATATTTTTTATTAAATTAACTTGAATTTAGTCTATTTTACATCTATTTGTGTGAAGGGTCTGAAACTTGTGGACAAGGTTATATTCACTTGGTTAACACAGACAGTCCCCGAACTCGTAATAGAACTAAAATAAGGAAAGTCGGAATAAAATCATGGCTTAGCCCTAACCTGGTACGCATTCTTCGGGAGTACCGATAATTGAATATGGATATATTTTGATAAAACTTACCAAATTTCATGTGTTGCTGACGGGCTTGGTTTAAATCTTCTGGAAAGATCCACTGGTACCAACTGGTATTGACCAGTTCGTCTGGTTCATAACCAAGGAGTGTAGCTGCATGGTTTGGCACTTCCAAGAATTTCATGTCGGGAGAATGTACTGCTTTGAATTCTGTGGGACGGGGTGTTGGGTGGTGTCTGACGTCAGTAACTGGCTTTGATTCTATTGGTTCACAAACCGCGAAGAAGGCGGTATCCGACCAATCATTGCTCATTTCTGGTTTGTGGTATTTGCCGACGACATGAACGATCTAAAATAAGGGATTAGGAACATTTAAATTTAAAAAGAACGAAAATACGCGCATGGCCTATCCATTTCAATTGGCTAACTAATTCCATACCAGACATGGACTGGTAATCGAAGAGGCCGTTTTCACCCTATTATTAAGCCGTCTTATCGGTTTCGGTGTTCCCGAAGTATTCGTAACAAGATGGCGCACAACCTGAATATAGAATGTGTACCAGGTGAGGGTCCAGGTTGTGCGTCATCTTGGTACGAATACTTCCGGAGCGCAAAATTTATCCAGTTGATGTTTCAAACGAAAGGTCATTTTTGACTAAAAATATCAGATCAGATGCTTATTTTTAGAAGGATTCAAGATATGCAAATAAGCCTTTTGTGAGTTTATAATTTTCTTTGCTATAATTCATTCCGAAATAGCTTATAAAGTTCAACATAAATGCGCGCCAAGTGGTGTGAACTGGGGGCATTTTAAATAAGTAAGTTATCGATTCGTTGATCTGAATATCAGACTAAAATGAAGCAGACAAAAATAGCTTTTAGTATCATTCGCTTTTTCGGTGAAGAACCGAGTTGCTCGCAGAAGACCGGAAACGTATTCGCCAATTATTTGCAAATAATTTATGAGAACAAAACAATTTTTACGTCATAATATTGCGTGAAAAGTTTTACGCGATAAATCTTATTGATATTATGACGTTTCAATGCGTCACAAATAAGCCTTAAATTAAACTTCAAAGAACACGAACAGGTTTGATTGACGATCCTGACAAACCAATATGAACCTGAGTCAACGCCAAGTATTTATAAAGGTACTCGGGTAATATGTGAACCAAGATGGCGGACGCCGGAATGTAGTATGTGTACCAGGTTAGGGTTAGGCCATATTTTCAGGTACAAATACTACGGGAGTCACTTGGCTAGTCTCTGAAATCGTAAAAGAACTAAATAAAGAAAATTGGAATATAATTATGGCCAGACCCTAACCTGGTTCACATACTAAGGGAGACCTTCATAAATATGACAAATAAACAAACCTTATTTTTCCACGATCGCATTTGTGTCTTCATGTATCGAGAAGTCGACATTCGGCAAAAGAATGATAATCTTCTTGGCTCACCTACAAAAAGAAAAAATTAACGTTAAATTCCCTTTTCATCTAACGTTTTCTTCGGCAGTATTGAATTGGGAGATTTCAAGTCTTTTGTAATCTCTATCTTAGGAAATTCCTGTCGCAAGGAAAGTCCAAAGTCAAAATCCATTTTTATAGCGTTAATCGCCCATTCCAACTCTTTCATCAATGCACTTTTTAGGTTTAGTTTGGTGCTCAGGTAAAATATCGCATAAAATAATTTGTCCTACATTTCGAATTTCGTGATGTCAAGTCACGATGGCAAACAGATGAAATAATCAAGTTTAGTATGTGTGGTTACCAACTTTTAATACCTTTATTAGACAATTCCACTATGCGACCGATTCAAATTAATTCAAACTGTTTAAATAGCTGCTAGGATTAGGATTTGTATAGAAATCAGTCCCGCATAGGATTAATATGCGTATAATACAATGTAATTTTTTGAATCGAAACGGGAGGGGGTAATTTTGTGTCGCCGTATATAATAGCTTTTATCAGAGTGTCTTGAGTACATATTGGATGTTTACCTACTACGAATTCATATTATAATTCATTTTTTTTTATTCTAAAAGTAATTTAAGCCGAATTTTGGTTTGTTTTTCGATTAAAAGTTGCGGTCGTATCAGTTTCATGGTATGTGTACGTTACAATTTTAACTCGTTTCAACGCTTTCCATATTATAGTTGGTGCAGAGTTCTTGGCTGCGGTACCATACAGTTAACAATGTCTGAAATGTACTCTACTAAGTACCGATTAACATTTTATGTATTTTATAGGTAAACATGATAATTAACAAGTTAAAAAATAACGTGAGGTGTAATGTAACGGGTTAATGTGCAAGCGACGGAAATATCGCGTGAGAAGACGACAATGCAGTCGAATTCCATTGTTCGGTCACAGTCTTCTGCGTCATCTAATATTCGCTAACAAAGGCAAAAAAGATCGCGCCCATTGCTCGTCTGCAAAACGATCTTTTAAGATGGGATAACAGAAAAGCCCTTAAGCTGATAACATAAAAGAATTCTGGTCGAAAATAGCGTGAGAGAGACTAAAAAAGTTAAAACTATTCGGGTTTTAAATATTATGTCAAGTTATTTACGGTCGAATAAAAAAAAAGCAGGAAATTTTACCATTTATGCTAAAGTTATCTTTACTGTGTAATTCTTATAGACTATATCAAAAATTTGAAAATTTCTTACCGTTCTCAGACTGCGGTTGCATTTCAAGTTGGGATCTGATCATTTCATGGTCTTCTTTATCTATGATGTCATAAATACTGTCACCTTGACTGGCAAGTTCGACCTTGAAAAGAAATTTAAAAAGCTTAGTTTTGCGCCAAATTTCACTATGTAAATAATCTATAGCCGAAAACGTTTTTGGCTTTGGTGTTTGAGATGAATGTGATGAATAGTGTTGTATGCTTACCACGGTATGTCCCAAATAGTCAAGGATGTTGTCAGACGAAAATAAAATCTTTCCTTCGCGGTTGAAAACAAGCAAAAATCCGGAGAGAGAATTAGCGAAGTCGCTTACAAGGCCTGCACTGGGATTACCGCCGCTGCCAATGCACTCTAAATAAAAACAAAATTTGAATACCACCACGTCGCTAGCGTATCGTAAAATTTTCAAAAAATTGCAGAAGTCAAATTGTCTGAAAATCGCGAAATTTCGGGTCCGGAAAATTTCCAAGCAATCCTTCAATGTCAGCAATATCGAGTTTTTTTCTATTTGTGGTGTTATCATGACGTAAAAATCGACCAGACAATAAAGTTCACAGACGCTGATTTTCTATATTAAACATGCAAAATCTTAAAATATATTTCCGTATTTTAGTAGGTTTCAAATTTATCTAGAGACACCTGTAACCAATCAATCATAAAGACTGATGACATTTTACCGTGAAATCAATTTATATCACAACATTGTGACGTATACAATCATTAATTATGGAAGTTCTGTTACGACATAATTTTGGTTTGTTTTCAATCAATCAAATCTGTCAATACCTTGTTTGAGAAGACAGTTATTAATGATTTTTGGTAAAATCAAAACTACTTCAATCGAGTGTCTGCTACCAATGTATGTAACATTAAAATGTATGCAACGATTTTTCTCGATTTTAATTGTTTTTTGCCACTAATATAAACAAAAACTATAATAAAAAACTCTTTTGTACCTTTCTTAAAAAATGTTGCTTTTCTGATGAATGTGTTTGTCAAAGCAAGAATTCCAAGATACGAAAGTCTTTCCCGGGAGCTCTTTTTCAACGGGAGTAAGTTTTGCAGTTCCCGAATTTCTGCGTTGATCAGATCTCGCCTTTTCTTTGAGAGAATTCTCGGCTCAGGGCCGTCGTTATTAGCTTGAGACATCTGAGCTTGGGGAGCACCTGAAGCCGGAGTCCAACTGTGGAAAATAAGCAAAAAATAAAGGGAAAAGTAAGGTATTTGCAACTCTGTGATTGTTTTAAATTGTAGCGGAAAACTTTTTCTGGTGGTGAGTTAATTTCCTGACCAGCCAATAGTCCGAATATTATTAAGAACATTTATTAGGTAAATTCAATTTTTCATTCGGAATAGATAATTTATTAGTTAATAATTTAGTTATAAAATTCGTAAAAATTTTCCGTTTTTAGGACAAAAATTATCTATTTCGCTAAAAACCAGATGAAGTCGATAAGGTGTTAGAATTCTTACCCGTTCATAACAGACTGTGAGAATAAAATGCACTCTTTTTTTACTTGTATATTCGATTCTTTTGTGTTCATGACCGGGGGCAGTAACGCCTGCTGTTGTTGCATTACGTAGCTCCTAGAAAACAAGAAAATTTACTTTTATTTTCGACGGAAAATCGTTAAAAATTGGATTACACAGAATTAAATGAATAACATATTAATTATAGTTTCTCAAGTACCTATGCGAGACATATTTGTGACGTAACTATGACTCATAAATTATACGAATAAATATGATTGTGATGTCATTATAATACCTTAATCTCATTTTGTATCGAAAAGTCAACACTTACTAATAATCAAAAATTCTATTTACCTTGGAAATATTGAAAATAAATAATTTTATACAGAAATTCCTGTGTCTAAGTTTCATAAAACTAACCCCCAACTAATGCGAATATTTCACCACTTAACTCAGACGCTTCATGTTTAATGTTACGCCCAGCGATAGATTTCTGGTATAGTCAATGAGGCGGATAAAGTATCGATGATGGACGAGACTCGGTTATATTTACTGAAGGATTGAATAGACGAACGCACAATAGCGACACTCTTAAGCGCAAATAAAAAGGGTTTGGCTTGTTTTATTCGTTTTGGGGAACTTATCGCCATTACGAGTGCTTTGAAACGCGATTTATATCTTAAGGTAGAAAAAATAATATTCCAGTTTAAACTGGTTTGATCTGGGTTTGGGGAATGTTTATTACATCCCACAAGGGTGAATTGGTTTAGAGTGAATTTAGCGTAATAAAACAATGAACTTTAATATTTTCTAAATGTATTTGGCTTGGAAATCTTTATAAATGATATAATTATACAAAGTAAAGACGTTGAAATTTTAATCATTTCCTAAAATTTAATCAAAAAATAAAACCTTATTTTAATAAATGGTAATTTATACATAATAACCTTAATTTTCATTCTAACAAGAGGGTCCGATGGCGTACAAGGCGCCAGAAATTCTTCGATAATTTTAACGAAAAAGGCATGTAATTTGCGCACCATACCTCAGCCGCCTCCTTTAATTAAAGCTATCGCCCGCGGGCAGGTCTCAAAAATAAGCTGACATCGAAAATTACTAAAAATTGCCTCGAAAACAAGCCCGGATCTAACAAAAAATAGCTTAAAAATCTATATTGAAATATTAAAACAAAATAATAAAATCAGAATAAGTCGGTCAACAACAACCTATTTGCTAAGTACGGCGTTTTAAATTAAATTGAAGTCGATTTTTTTAGGTAAATAAAATGAAAATTCTAACAATAATCTTAAAAATACTTATACATATAACAATATTCCACAAGCAAATGAGTATCATGAAACTACAACTAATATTCAGTAAATACAAGGTGTCCATAAAATCTTAATTTTTTTTTAAATGGCAAAGGAAATTTATCCATTTCCTATATTGTTTTCGCCCTCACAGATGTATTAAATGAAGCAAAAATACTTCAACAATTACTAAATTAAAAACCACAAATCAGGTTAAGATATATCGACTGACTTCATAACAAAATTCAATTTGTAAAAGAATTCATGGACACTCTGTACTGTAAAACCGCCTAAGATCGTCGAGGGTGCATATAGCATATGCGGTGGTACAACGAGCCCTTTTACGAAAAAAATACCGGACTCCTTTTTTGCTCAGAAAAAAAATTATAACTTACCGTGGTTTACTATTTGGTGCCATGGTGTTTGGTACAGAACAACTTCCACGCAAAAATATAGACTCGTAAATATAAATAACTTAGTTTATCAATATATATCTAAACAGCAGATCAATAAATATATAAATGAATGTTTCCTTATCAACTGTACTACGACTGTACTAATATATATCACTATATGAATAAGCTTCCCAAATCAGATCAATTGATCTGTATCACAAAGCGCTCGAGAAAACAGCACAACCGCGTCGCTAGAAGTTATTGTTGAAGTGCGGCGCCTAACTCCGTACGTATGATATTTAATTCCCTATTTTTTCGTCACTTCGGAGAACATCTCTCATACCCGACCGCTTTTTTATATTTTTTTATTAAACTGAAGATTTCAGTGAAACGTTTTTGCTCGCTATTCGTTGGTTTATGAGTCTCCGGGACCTCGATAGCGTTTTTCTTTTTTTTTCTCTCGTTTTGACGACGCTCTCTCGTTTTGTTTTAAAATAAATTTTATGTCATCTGTGTTGAATAGTCTTTTTTCTATAAAATTTCCGCCTTTATGAAGAAAAACTTGTTTTAAAATTTGTTAGCTTCTAATAAAACATACCCATAAAAGAGTAAAGCTTATATTTTAAGTACTATACACTATTGTTATAGAAGTTTCAGTTGCTGGCGTCACTCGGGACGCTCACTATCAGTAAAGACAAAAAGTGACTCCGAACATATAAACCTCAAACTAACCACCAGTGTACTCAACTAAGTGAGTGACTCGATTAAAGACTCGAACAACCCGCGACTCGATTTCAGTCGCGACTTAGGGTGTACCATCGCTATTTTAATGTTAAGCTGGGATCTTCTTATTGCCCCGCCTTTCTTTCCTTATCTTAGCAAGTGTTATAACTTTTTTGGAAAATACGGCGCTCCAGAAGTATTCGTACCAAGATGACGCACAACCTGAACAACCCTATCCTGGTACGCATACTAGGTTCAGGTTGTGCGCCATCTTGGTACGAATACTGCGGGAGCACCTAAAAAACACTCTAAACAGATGAAGACGGTGCAATAATCCTAATCTAACTTATCGTATTCTAACCCATTCGCGATGGAACAATAACATTCTGGTGCCCAGAACTCATTAAATATTTCGCTTGCGACACTAACAGCAAAAAATCACTTATGTACCTTAGTACTGTGGCTCCTATATTAGTCAAAATTTAAGGCGTTCCAGAAGTGTGTGTAGCAATATGGAGGTAACTAATTTCGTTCGCCTATTTTATATCAGGTTGTGTAAAGGCACTGAAACCTATGGACAGGGGGTATGTTCACTTGGCTAATACAGACAGTCCCCGAACTCGTAATAAAATTAAAATAATAAAAATCGGAAAAAAAAATTATGACCTAACCCTAACCAGGTACAGACACTACCAAATTTAAAGTTTAGCCGTCAGTGCAATTATAGCTAACTTTAATTGAAATAAAACTACATTCCTCCGCGTAAATCCTGCTTATTACAATTAAATACAGAAATTAAAATATCATATATTTATACAAAAAACAATAGTATTCATAATTTATTTCAAATTTGCGATTTAGAGATTTGATTTGTTACGTCAGTTGTCCTCAATTTTCAAATTAGATGTAATTTTAGGAAAATAAATAGTTACTCATGATGTCACAAAAAATTTGAAAAATTCAGTTTGATTATATGACGCAAAAATGGGAAAATTTTCTAATCAAGGTATTCAGATTTTACAGCTAACAATTTCCTTATGATATTTTTTAACGTCTTCCAATTTATGTGTTTATCGTACAATAAATCCGAGCATGGAACTAATATTATAAAGTCTATTTGTGAGCGCGATGGTTTTAAGTTCCCACATGCTCACAATCATACACGGGGTGCTATAAAGTAGGGGCGTGCAACCTGCGTCCCGCGGGCCAAAGGCTGCCCGCGGAGAAGTGTCAATATCAAATGGTGTGCGGTCCACGAAACGACTTTAATCTGGCAAGTGCGAGTGATTTCAATCCCTTTGCGTCGCAAAGGTTATACCTGAGTCCAATTTATTATCCATTCAAAAGATGTTACATCCAGAAGTATGCGCACCAAGATGGCGCTCAACCTGAACATAGTATGTGTGTACCGGTAATATTCAGGCTGTGCGACATCTTGGTGCGCATACTTCTGAAGCACCAAAAGATGTTACAATGCCCTAACGACTAACTTGTGCCATGCTTCATGAAAGATACACAATATACTTGTTTATGTATGGCGTAAATATATATAAACATTTAGCGATGCTTGATATACCTTGCGTAATCGACATTTTTATAATTGCCGTTTTAGTTTTTTTATGTTAGGACGGGATGATTTGAAAAAATTCATTGTTAGCTGAGAACTACGTAATTATACATCCGTAATTCGATTTCGTTTGGCGTGATTTCAACTTGAATAACCTGATAAGGGTTCAAACTGCGCGGGATTTTTGGGTTCCGGGGTTATTTCCCGCTTTGCATGCGCTTTTGCTTGTGTCGTCACAAAGTAATCAAAGTGTACCTTCCAGGTAACTTGTAGCAACTTTGTCGTGATCTCTGTGGTCACGGATTCAAATATGTTTCGATTTTTAGTGTTTCTTATATTATGACCTCATAGTTGGATGTTATGAATTTAAAACTTCCCGCCATTATTGCAAATCGATAAAACTTTACTGAGTTTGTATTAGGGGAATGCCACATACTTGACAGATTGTGAATTCTATATTTACCTGACCGTTCTAATTTTGTATAACTTAGTTTGAAATTTAAAAAGTACCAACAAAATCCGTAAAATTACCGGAAATATCGGGTATATCAATTCCCACCACCGAAAATGTTTCATAAAGATGAACGCATATAAAAAGAAGCTTTTTAAAATAGCAACAGGCAATAAATGAGCTGTGGTACATGGAACCATGTGCTACTTCGTCTCAGCAGCAGAAAACATTAGCAAAGGAGAAAACATAAACTCAATAACGTTCAAATTCTAACCTAATTTACAAAATTTCGAACAGTTAATTTTGTTTCACTTTTACCTCGAAGTACTTTGACTGGAAAGACCTTGCAGTAAACGAAAGAATTTCACTTCTATTTAAAAAGTCTGTAATCACGAGTAAACACTTCAAAGACATTTTAATACAGAGTACGTTTCTACGAAGGCAAAATAATTTACGATGGAAAAGAATGTTCAAATTTTACTAAAATTTCTATGTTGCTAGAGATGAAAGCTGTTGGGAAATTAAAAGCCCGCTTCAAGGCTCTAATGAAATAACGACAATGAAAGTGAAGTCAAGATGCAAATCGCTATGGATTCTGAATTAAAAAATTAGCATTCGCGTGCATTCATCTTAGTGCAAACATTTGTCTCAGAGAGGGCATGGATTACCAAATGTTATACGGACACACAACATGAAATCCGATATGAAAATACCCTATCTATCTCTTATACATTGCGGGAAGAATATTGGCCGCTAAACCATAAGAATATATATTTCAATTTTGAGGTTAAAGGAATGTTTGAATTATTTCGTATGCCACCTGTGCTCTAACCACGTAGGAAAAAACGTCTTATCTGTCTTTTGTATTTCAAGAAGAAAAACGAGGATGGATAATAAGAATACATATTGCAATATCCAGGTTTGCTCGATAGAATGTTTCATGCTATTGCTGTATGATTTGGTTTAAAGGACAAGAATTTGTCGGTTTGACTTATCCCATGCAATTTTAATGCACCCCGATCCAAGCAACAAACAGCCAGTTTACACAGGAATTTTGTACCTTGCGACGCCAAGAAAGTTACACACCCAACCCGCCCAAAAAATTTTGTAACGGATTTTTGACATGGAAAAATAATTTTTTGTTGATCTTACTAAAATATAGTATAGTATGCCAATAGCGACCCTAAATATCATTCTTTTCAAGTCGCCACAGCAGATTCAAAACCAAAAAATTTACTAATACCTCAACATTGTCACTAATGATATAAGTAAGGGTTTTGAATGTTAAACGTTTGACGACCGCCGCAAATGGTAACGTGCATCGC